TAACTGTGCAAAGCAGACACTGATCTACTGGGTCTTCATGAGATGATTACTGATACAAAAGTAATGGAACAAATATCAACCAAATGTAATATACAGCTCTCACAACTCAGCTGGTCCTAATACACCAGACACTAAAAATGAGAGTGGTTAGGTTTATGACCCTCTTTAGGTTACAACATTTTGTAATTGCGCCACTATTTATTTATCCTCTTGCTGAAGAATGTTCCAAAATATCGAGTTTACAACCCATGGGTTGTGTAACAGTGATGGAAGGAATTACAATTGAGAGTTTCAAAGCTACCAAAGGGATTTGGTTGCCCCATTAATTTTAACAGGGATAGGTCATCCAACTCTCTGAAAAGGGTTTCCAGAATTTCAGCCTACAAAGTTTCCTCTCTACTAGCTCCAATCATCTAGGAATTCAGAACATTATGAGCTCTTGACATAAGGGAAAAGGTGACAAAATCTAGAAATGCAGGGTTCTGATGTCTCAGTGCACCTTCAAGAAACCATTCATAGATTCCAAGGTGAAAAGGGACCGTTGTGATCATCTAGTTTGACCTCCTGCATAACACAGGCCAGAGAACTTCCCCATGCATGAGCTGCACTTCCAAATCTTCTTCTTGTAGAAATGAGCATATATGGTAGTTTGTTTGGTGTGTACTGGCCAGGTTTCGCATTAAGAGATTATTGTGGTGACCTTTTTGCAGATTGTTCAGAATACTGGAAGTATTTTGGGAGATGTGGAAATAACCATCAATAGAAAAGTTCCACAAAAATGTCATTTAACTCAGCAATGGGGCAAAGCTCAGTTTTAATGTATATGCATATGCTATCTCTCTTAGGTGCTTAGTTGCCTGGCTCCTCACAACGTTTAATGTATTCATCCTCACAACAGCCCTGGGAGGTAGAGCAGTGCTATTATCCCCATTTCACAGATGGGGACCTGAGGCACAAGAGAGACTACGATCCCACAGGAAGTCTGTGGTGCAGCAGGAAACTGAATCCAGGTCTCTCTAATCTTGGGCTCGTACCCTCACCACTGTATCTGACAACCTCAGACCTCATTGGGTACATTTGCATCACTTCTTGGCATCCTGCCTTCACCCTGCTTGAGTCCATCTTCTCTGTCTAGCCCTTTGCATCACACCTATCTCTGTGGCATTTTCTTAATATGACTGTGCTTACTATGCTCGGTGACTATATAGACACACTGGTATGTTATTATTTTATCCCTGTTACTATCACAGTAAGATGAGCATAAATACTCAAAGTGGCACATTGAGGATTTAGGGACTGATCCATAGCCCATTAGAGAGAAAAGGTCGGTGCGGTCATATCTTTTATTGGAACAACTTTGTAACTCTTCTCAGTCTGCTTTGGAGCAATTTTGTATCTTTTGTGAACTTTGTCAGCTTCCTGTTCACCCCTTTTTCCAGATCATTTATGAATATGTTAAACAGCAGTGGTCAGTCCCAGTACAGATCCTTGGGGGATACCACTATTTACCTTTCTCCATTGTGAAGACTGACCATTTTTTCCTCCCCTTGGTTTCCTATCTTTTAACCAGTTACTGATCCATGAGAGGAACTTCCCTCTTATCCCATGACTGCTTACATTGCTTAAGAGCCTTTGACGAGGGAGTTTGATGAAGGCTGTCTGAAAGTCCAAGTACACTGAATCAACTGGATCACCCTTGTCCACATGCTTATTGACATCCTCAAAGAATTCTTATAGATTAGTGAGGCATGATTTTCCTTTACAAAAGCTGTGTTGACTCTTCCCCAACATATTGTGTTCATCTATGTGTCTGATAATTCTGTTCTTTACTATAGTTTAAACCAGTTTGCCTGATAATGAATTAGGCTTATCGTCCTGTAATTGCCAGGATCACCTCTGGAATCTTTTTTTTAAAAATTGGAGTTATATTAGCTGTTCTCCCGTCATCCAGTACAGAGGCTGGTTTAAGCGGTGGGTTACATACCATATTTAGTAGTTCTGCCATTTCGTATTTGAAATGTTGTTAGACACGTTACCTCCTACCCTTCTGGGGGTAGCTTTGCTTTAACAATGAGTAGAGGGATCCCTATCTATCTCTTACAGCCTTCCATGAGTTTGGGGAACTTAATAAATGTTTTTGAAGAGCTTTGAGATTCTTCAATGAAAGACCCCACAGAAGTGCAAAATATTGTTACTAATGTTCTCAACATGAGTCATGCAGCAGAATCTCATTGGGACAAGCTCTGATGCCCTTATACTAAGTAATACTTTACTCCACGGAGTAAAGTGCTACTCAGTGTGAGTAAAGGTGTCAGAATTTGGCTCACTGAAATCTTGAAATGACACGAAATATCAGAATTTTAGAATTCAAAACAAACCTAGAGAATTTAGTGAGAGCAGCCCCTTGGTTGGGTGTAGAAGCATTATTGAGCTTTGAAGAGTCTTGTTATTGTTGCCGTTGAATGACAAAAAGTTACTGTGCCTTTATTAATAAGTCTTCTGTGAGCAACGATGAATGCCTAGTAGCAGTTAGGATCCAGATGAGTGACATTGGAAAAACTTTTAGGGGCAATGTGAGATAGTGGAAAGTGACTTTGACTGTTCTGAGTGCTGTCTTAATAGATTTAAGAACAAATTAGCTACTAATAGTAGTAGATATGAATCTTTTTTGGACTAGAACAAAATGTTCCATAATGAAACATGTGGTTTCACTTTGAAGCACATTCTGTAAATTGTCACCAGTGAAGTTAAGAATTTTTTGTTACTCACTAGTTTCACTCAGGAGGCAAAACTTTTAACCGGGCTTTAACTGTTTCTGTCAGAAAAGGCATAGCTTCAGTGTAATATGAATAGTTTTGCAGGCCTCATTGATTATGCATTTTGTGCCACTTTTTTCTAGCTGTACCCCTTTGGACCACTCTTGCAGTAGGTGAAGATTCGATCTCCCCCAATTGAACTTTCACTCAAATCTCAAATCTAATGTGAACTTTTCTTTAAGTTAGGAAAAGTTTCCCTTTGGTTTTGTATTATTTTTGTACCTCTTTTTTGGGTACCTTAGCATTCCCATGAGAGAGAGGCTGTTGTATTGTGTATACATACACATTATATGTGTATAATACAATAATAAGAATTATTGAAACTCTAGCAAAACACAAAATAAAAACACACACAACAACAACCCACATTTCTCATAGCAGTTCCAGCCAAAGTGTACATATGCAAGAGGTGGAAGTAGTTCAGATGGCGGTGGTGAAGGGACTCAGTTGACCTAGGTTCAAATCCTGGCACCAGGATAGACTTCTTGGGCAAGTCACCTAACCTCTCTATGCCGTATGCATAAAATGGGGATAATAATAATTAATAATACTTGAACCTGGGTCTTCCACATCCCAGCTTACAGTCCTTGCTCAAACATAATAAGGTTCCCCCATTGCTAGCCCAAATTTGGCTGCTCAAATATAATTACCGTAACAGTCAAGAAAATGATTGTTTGCTACAAAATGCGTTTTCTTCTAAAAGTGAAAGAAAGAAAGAAAGAAAGAAAGAAAGAAAGAAGGGAAATATCTTTCCACCCTATGTACAGCTTGACCTCAACAAAGGTAACCGCTTGTTAACAATAATGTGATTTCCCTCAGTAAGAACTCATTTGTGCCCTATAAGCCACAGACCACAGTAGGAGGTGATGCAAAATCTCACTACCTCAATAGGAGGACCAGTGCATGGGGGGAGTGTGTAAGGTGCAAGAAGAGGTGGAGTTATACTCCAGTTGCTTCCCTCCCCTCTTTAGGTCATATTATTCAAAGTTTCATAGATTCCCCAGGCCAGAAGGGACCATTGTGATCATCTAGTCTGACCTCCTGAATACCACAGGCCACAGAACTTCCCCCAAATAATTCCTAGAGCATATCTTCTAGGAAAACATCCAATCTTGATTTTAAAATTGTCCGTGAGGGAGAATCCATCATAGCTCTTGGTAAGTTGTTCCAATGGTTAATTACTCTCACTGTTAAAAATTTGCATATTATTTCCAGTCTGAATTTAGGGTTCAAAAAAGAACTAGATAAATTCATAGAGGACAGGTCCATCAATGGCTGTTAGCCAGGATGGGCAGGAATGGTGTCCCTAGCCTTGGTTTACCAGAAGCTGGGAATGGGCAACGGGGATGGATCACTTGATGGATGATGACCTGTTCTGTTCATTCCCTCTGGGGCACCTGGCATTGGCCACTGTCGGAAGACAGGATACTGGGCTAGATGGACCTTTGGTCTGACTCAGTATGGCCGTTCTTATGGTCTTATGTCTAGCTTCAACTTCCAGTCACTGGATCACGCTATACCTTTTTCTGCTAGATTGAAGAGCTTATTATTAAAGGTATCTTATATCATCAGGCATGGGAAGTACCACAGTTGTGCCTGGCCACTGCATAGAGGTAAAAGCTAGACCTGAGAGGAAAAAGGGTTTCCCATCCCTTGAAAAAAATTTATTTCCGTTTTTTTCCTGTCCCAAACAGGAATAAAAAGTCAAAATCTTGACTTTTTCTGTAAAATGAAAACCTGGGAGGTGGGGGGAAAGTTCTCAGGTCAGTTGAACTATTTCATTTAGATCATTTAAAAATCTTTTGTTTTGATTTTGACCTTTTTAATTTAATTTTGTACTCTAATTGCCTTTAAGTTTTTTAACCAAAAAGATGTTTTCAGCCAGAAATCTTTTCCTTTCTAAAATATTGAAACAAAATGCTTAGACGATTTCAAAACTTCTTTCCAAAAATTCTTCAAGTTGAAAAATGTATCGAAACTGACACTTTCCCATGAAAAGTTTCTGTTTTGACAAATGGGTGTTTTCTGAGGGGAAAAAACGTTTCATCAAAAAATTCCCAGCCTGCTGTAGGAAAAGCCCTTCACCTCCTCATGTACCTTCACAGTGGCTGGTAGAGTTCTTTCTATCACGCTTTTGTTAGGATGGTTACCCATTCACATATTACATTTATATGTGTTTTGCAGCTCAAGGACAAAGAACACAAACCCTTCTTCAGGGGGGTCCTCAGGAACAGCTGCATCTGCTGTCCATATTTTTGAGCATGTACCAGTGTCTTCTCCCTCTTCGATGCCTCTTCAGTCAGATGAAGAAGACAGCCTGCCACCGCACCTCCTGCTACCAGATAGCATCAGCCAGCTGGAAGAGTTTGGCCGTCAGAAGAAATGGCATAAGAAGCAGCACAAACACCATCGCCAAAGGCAGTTCAATGACCTGTGGGTTCGAATAGAGGACAGGTGAGTCATTGTTATTACCCCAGCATCTTTTGCCTCCTCATTGTCTCACGACTTGACGGTTGACCCCCACTGATTGGCTGATGTAACAAACCATGAGTCATGAGGGGGCTCTGGGGGTAAGGAGTGGGGGCTGGGATGTGTGATGATATTTTTCAGGCATAGAGGGGGGAATATGGGAGTTGGGGTGAAGGCTAAGCTGGTATAGGTACATTGGATCAAAACTGGAAAGGAAAAGAGAGAGGTTGGCATGATGAGGTTTAAAATACAGGTTTATACAGGCCCGCTAACACACCAAAGGAAATGAAACAAACAGTATTTGGAACTGGCCACTTATCTATCAATATAGCTGTCCACCTTAGGGTTATATACTGGTACCCATCACAGTAATATCTGACTGCCTTCCATCTAAAATTGATAGCAGTAGCGTGAAGTCTCTGGTACTTCTCCTGTGTTGGGGTGAAAACTGTGCTTGGGGTATTTCTCTTTATTTGTGTATTTTGTAGGTTTTTTTCAAGCTATTTTATGTTGTGATTGGTTGATTTACTGATGATACAGGTTTTATTTCCTATTTTGGGTGGGTGTCTGGACAGGTGAGGGTGTCACTGTTCTGAATGTGACCTGTGCTGTGGTGGAAAGGCCCTTTGGAAGAGGGAGGTTTTGCAGTGTCTCTTAAAGATGGTCAGAGTCTGGATTCTCCTGGTCTCATCTGGAAGTTTGTTCCACAGATGGAGCTGCTTTGTCCCCAGCTCTCATACACTCAGTCCTGGCCTTTGTGATCTGAGTTATCCCAGAGGAGGGCAACCTCTTTGTTTTCCATTTGAAGGGTACCAAGTCCTCCAGTGTCCCAGCATTCCATAGGCCCGCCTGTCCCAGCTCAACATCATGTGGGACAAAAGGATGTGTTAAAGACTCAGATGTGGTTGGAGCATGGGTGTTAGACACATTTCCTGAATTATCTATAAATTCAGGCTAAAGGGCAGGATACCTGCTATGCTCTGTAGCTATGAGTTCAAACAACTGGATGGAATTGGCTGTTCATTTTTTTATTTATAACAAGTATTGCTTCCAAAAATGGTTTTGAAAAGCCTGGTTCCCCAGTTTAGTGTTGCAACGATGCTTTTTATTACCCCTAGAGGATCTCATCTGAATCTAAACCTTTTATTCCTTTCCATTCGATGAAGACTGAGGAGATGGTAAAATATCAGTTTTCTGGCTCACAGAGCTTATGATGAACAAGACTTTGCATGACATTTGCTTTGCGGCAGTGTTTCTAAGGAGGCATATGTGGAGTTGGGTGGGAAACCAAAGACCTAAAATGAAGAAGGGGGAAAAAATCTGCTTTAGTGCTTTCAGATTTTTTTTTTTTTTATTATTTTTATTTTTTGGTGCTGTTACAATTCTAAAGCAACTTCCGTTTTAAAAAAAAATTACAAACTGTTAATCCAAAATCAGAGGCTCATGGGAAGCTTTGGTTTCCCAATAAAAATGGATGTGGTATTGAAATTTACAAAACAGCTGCTGCATATTGTGCTTTTGGCAGTTCCGTTTCGTCAGCATCAACTGCACGTTGGGGCTAGCGCTATGCATTGTACAGGGTGTTATTTTTTAAATGGTTCCATTCCCATTGGCCATAGTAGAACATAAGACTGTGTAAGTTATTAGAGTCTGCAGTATGATTATTCCCTGAACGGGTGCAATAGAATAATTCTGGGGCCAACTCCTTAACTGAAGATAAATTAAATGGGCTAGATTCACAGCTGAGCTATGCTGATTTTACACCATCTTGGGCTCTGGCCCAGTATACCAAGAATGTTCTTCCAGTTCATGGCTGTTTCCTAGCTTCCTTATTATCAGGTTAAGTTATACACTGAAACTTGGCAAGAAGAAAAGGTGCACAAAGCTGGGATAAGTTGGGGCGGGAGGGGGAACCTGTGTCATTTTTATTTCAGGTGAAAACCATGTAAAACTCAGTACGTTTCCATCCAAAGCCTTCAAACTTCAATATTTTCAGTTGAGTTTCAAAGCCAAATGTGTGAGTGGGGGAGCATGCAAGCAAATTTAAACCAGATTAAAGGTTCTTGTTTGAACCCCACTGAACTATGAAATCACTATGTTTCAGAGCTCTTTTCCAAAGCTTTATTGACCATGGATTAGAGGACTTTATGAGCCATGAATTGCAGGGCTTTTATGGACTGTGGATTAAAAGTCCATCTCCTACACGTCCATGGAAATCTTAGGGTGTTTTTTTAAGCTTCCAATACAGAAACAAAGGAAATGAACAAATGAGAACAATGTTAAAGGAACATCAAAGGTCTGAATTCAACCTATAAAAGCCAGGAAATCCATAATTAATGGTTCCACTAAGGCCTTAACTCATACAGTATTTCTAGTCTGCTCTGGGTTGTAGCCACCATCTGAAATAGTCTAATAAAGATGATTCATCATTTAACATCATACATTATTATTATTTATTTTAGAGATCGTCTCTCTCGTTTTATTCTATCCTGAGAGCTGGGACCAGCTGTCACACACAAACTGATATTCTCTAGATTTGTATAACATCAGGGTGTTCTGGTAGAAGGTTTCTAGATCTGGAATTCACCTACCCCTGCTGCTCTGACAAAGCCAAGATTTGTTACAAAGCCAAGCTATTTCATATGTGGGGGTTGAAAAATATAATTTTATTTCCGCCAAAAAAATTTCAAATGTAACAATTTCATTCAAAAATTTGTCATGGCTAATTTTGATTATTTTTTTAAACAAAAAAAAACGTTAACAAAATTAAAATTTCCCTTTCTAATGGCAATGTTGGTTGTCAAAAATGAAATGAAAATTGTAATTAGAAATGAAACCAAATGGTTTCATTTCAATTTTCAGAAATCTTCATTTTGTTTTAAATTTGTTTCTTTGCATGAAACATTTTGATTTCCACAAAACTACATTTTTGATGAAAAAATGTTGAGCAGTTCAGCTACCTTAGCAGGGATTGGGGGGGGAGGCACAGGGGTGAGTGTCGGGGAGGCGGGGGCATGGATGCACTGAGAGGGTCACAGCTTCAGTAGGATGGGGAGAGTTTTACTGTTTCTGTTGACACTATCAACTTAGTTTCCTCTTCTAATATAGATAGTTAATTACTGATTATATGTGTGGGGCAATAAATTGAAAGAATAAATAAATGTACATGGCACTATACCATAGGCATTTGAGTGACAAACAGACCAGGTCCTTGCCCTTAAGGGTTTAGACTCTAAAACCATAAGCAAAAAATACTACAAGACAGTAGAGAATATATACACCATCGGTTGTTGACATTGTCATTTGAGTGCTTTATAGAATAGAAAGTCTTTAGAAGTTCCTTACAGGTAAAGAGGCGGGGAGGTTGGTAAATGGAGGTCTATTTCAGGAGCGGAGATCGTTTGGAAGAAGGCAGAGAGTCTGGAGGAAGTGAAAGGGACAAATGAGATGGTGAGAAGGAAGGACTGGGCAGAACAGAATGAGACTGAGGGGCAAATCAGTGATTAACAGCCTCGCTGAGCCTTGAGCAAGAGCTGTTAATGGGGTGGAGTTGTGGAGTGCATTGAAGGTGAGTAGAAGCTTCAGCTTCATGCAGAATGAAAAATGGGAGCAAATGTAGAAAATTTCAAGGAGCAGGGAGGAGACTTGGTCAGAGAAGAAGGAAAGGACTAAGTGTTTCTAATGTAGCCATGGAACTGCAGGTCTGTTATTGGCTGAAAATGAAATAAAATCCCACTGTAAATGGGAATGGCATTTCCTTGATCGCCCGTTGGTGAATGTTCAACCCCAGACGAATGCAGTAACATTACAAACATCCATTTCTTTTAGAAGTGACAGCTATTTCAGCCTAAAAACTTTAAGCCAGTGATGAATGAAGAGTGACAATGTGCAATAAACTACCCTAATCATGCCCATATATAGTGAACCTTATCAGTTGGGCTGGAATTTAAGCCAGTTAGCCTGTTATCCTTTCCTTCAAGACAATGTAGTGATGGAAAACAGAATGCTGTCAATTTGTACAAACTTTTAATTCTGCTTAACTGCATCTGAAAGGTAAATTTCAGTAAATGAATCCAAATTGTTTCCTTTTCACAACACACAGTGCTGAAATATAGTACTTAGTTTCATTAAAGAGAAGCTTGCTTTTCTTTTTAGGAGACCAAGACACTTTTGAAGTCTAACAGGTAAATTGTGGTCAGATGACTTTCTTCCATATGGTGGCTTTGAGCTTGACATTTCCGTCATTGGGGTTTTGTTTGTTTAAAATAGTCCATCAGTCTCTCTGTTTAGTGTAGTGAATGCTAAAGGGATGCATAGCCACTGATGGACACTATGGGCTCCATTCTCTGTTCCAGCCAATCTATGCTCAACACAGGAAATGGAGAGGGGGTAATGGTGGCTCTATGGTTTGTGTTCCCCCTGTTGTCAGATTGGCTGGAGCCCTGTCTAGATCCCAGCATTAGTTAGAGAGTAGCCTGGGGACTTCTCTAACTTGTGACCAGTTACCTGTGACTCCAACGAGCTGTTCCAGCAGCCAGGAACAGAGAGGCTTGAGCCAGGCCTGTCAGGAACCCAACACAGGCAGTCAGGACAAGGGTCAGAGCAGGGACAAACCTGAGGCAGGGAGTAGCAGAGGAGTGCATGGTCAGGTTCTAGGCCAGGGCCGATACCAAGGGTCAGATTTCAGGATGTGAGTCACAAAGTGCAGTACAAATCAAGCCGAGGTCAAAGCCAGGAGGTCAGAAGCAAGGAATGGTTGTGGCAGCTACAGGGAATCCACACTGTGGCCTAGACACTTCCTGGAATACCCCGTAGGTTTATATAGGGTGGGGAGCCAATCAGGAGCCATGGGGCTGGTGTCTGTCAGAGCCCTTGAGGCAGGACTTCCCCTAGTCTGTGTCCACAGCGGGTCATGGGCAGTGGATCACAAGCTGGTTATAGCATGGATGCCAGCTTCCGGGTGTTAGACCCACAGGGCCCTACGA